GCTGTGACAGGGCCTGCACAGCGCCAGCATCCCCGGGATCCTCGCCCTGGACCTCTGCCCTGCCGACACCAACAAGATCCTCACTGGTGAGAACTGGCCTGGCCTGGCCTGGCCCGCGGGGTGCGGCGGGACGGGGGGTGCTTGTCTGTCCTGTGCGTGGGCCTCAGGGCAAAGGGAGCTGGAAGGGCTCGACTCTGGGACCTCACGCGCGTCCTTCCAGGCGGGGCGGACAAGAACGTCGTCGTCTTCGACAAGAGCTCCGAGCAGATCCTGGCCACCCTCAAGGGCCACGCCAAGAAGGTCACCAGCGTGGTGTTCCACCCCTCCCAGGTGGGCTCCCCCCCATCTCTCAGCCCCTGCCCCTCCCAGGTAGTGCGCTCCTGCCCCCTCATCTCTGAGCCCCAGAACCAGCCCCGCCCCTGCTGCCTCCTGAGGAAGCGCTCTGCTCTCCCGAGTGGACAGTTAGGGGCTCTGCTTGGAGTCATCTGTTCCCCTTTACTCTGTGGGGCCCGCAAGGCGGCCCTCAGACCAGACAGCAAAAGCCTCTTCATTACGTAGTGTTATTAGGAGAAGGACCAAGGCCCCCTGTGTTTACAATACAAACCGCAGGAAACAAAGCCCAACGGAACCTGGGCTCGAGGATCCGAGGCAGTCGGTACCCCTGGTCCTCGGGCGGGGGGGGCGGGGTCGGGGGGGACGTGGTGCCTGTCACAGCGGGTGGGGCAGGATAGATGAGCCGAGGGCCACGGGAGAGGCAGTCCTGGCAGAGCCCTGGCGTCGTGGGTGTGGCTGCTCAGGCCTCGAACGGTGGGTCTGGCGCTGAGACAGTCGGGGCTCAGCCAGCCTTTGCCTATTCCTTCAGGAAGTTAGAAACAGAAGAATACCGTGGAGAATCTTTCCTAAAAATAAATTTCTCCGAGTGAAAGCCCTCCTTTCTTACTGGAGCTAATATTTCTCTTATGAAATCACGTTGACAAAAGATGGTGGTTGGTTTTACCTTCGTTTTTAATGTTCTAACCACAGTGGTTGATTGGCGATGCTACAGAAGTTCCCTCCCTACCCAGACTTTCCTAGGAGCCTTAGATGCGCTGGACATGCCTTGCAGCCCTTCGGGGCCAGTGCTGAGGCCGCCACCTGCCACCTGCCATCCGCCTGGAGGCACTGGCCCCTCCTGGAGGCACTGGCCCCTTCAGTACTGGGCCTCAGCAATGCGGCCCCATCTCCCGGCCAGCTTCTCTGGTCCTGGGATGCTGCATCTGCTGCAGTTCTCCGCTCACCACTAGGTGGCAGGGCCTCCAAGGCCGAATGCTGCTTGATTTAGCATCTTAGTGTTTACCCGGTGGCCCTGGGAGGCAGGGCCGAAGGAGAAGCCGTGCGGGGGTGGCCATCCCCAGCCTCTGAGGTCGTTGGGTGCACCTCTTCTCTCCCTGAGTGTCCGCCTCTCTGTCCTCTTAGGAGCTGGTGTTCTCTGCTTCCCCAGACGCCACCATCAGGATCTGGTCGGTCCCGAGCTCCTCCTGTGTGCAGGTGGTGCGGGCCCACGAGAGCTCTGTGACGGGCCTCAGCCTCCACGCCACTGGCGACTATCTCCTGAGCTCCTCGGATGACCAGGTGCGGCCCCGAGGGCCCCGAGCATCGTGGGAGGAGGGACAGCTACGCACACACACACCCGGCCGCTCCCAGCATGGAGAGCGTTTCCTCTGCCCGTGGGGCTGGCTTCACCAGGGCTTGCCGGACGGGGTCCCTGCTCCCCGGAGGGCACCCCCTTTCTCACTCCTGCCTGGTGTGTTTCAGTACTGGGCCTTCTCTGACATCCAGACGGGGCGCGTGCTCACCAAGGTGACGGATGAGACCTCCGGCTGCGGTGAGTGGTGTCCCTTCATTTGCTGTCTGTCGTTTATCTTTATGTTTCATTTGCTCACGTGTTCTTATAAAAACGCACTGAGTGCCAGGCACTGGGGGCACCTTCTGCCGGGCTTGTCCCCCCGGGCTCTGACCATGCCCTCCCTTCCCCCAGCTCTCACCTGTGCGCAGTTCCACCCCGATGGACTCATCTTTGGGACAGGAACCATGGACTCTCAGATCAAGATCTGGGACCTGAAGGTAGAACCCACAGCCTCCACCCGCCGCAGCCAGAGCCCGTGATGCTCGTGTGCCTGTGGCGTCCGGCCTGGGGTCCCGAGAGGGGAGAGGGCTGTGTGTGCCGTGAGGGGTAGTCGGGGGCCCTGGGCTGGCCCCACCCCTGCTCTTCCTGCTGCTGTCCTTCCCCGAGAGACAGGACGTCTCAGAGGGAGGGTTCGGCGAGCTCCGTTCCTGACCAGTGGTGACCTTCTACTGCCTCCCCCACCCCCATGCAGGAGCGCACCAATGTGGCCAACTTCCCTGGCCACTCGGGCCCCATCACCAGCATCGCCTTCTCCGAGAATGGCTACTACCTGGCCACGGCGGCCGACGACTCCTCCGTCAAGCTCTGGGACCTGCGCAAGCTGAAGAACTTCAAGACGCTGCAGCTGGATAACAACTTTGAGGTATGCCCCCCGCCCTCCATCTCGCTTGCCTCCCCATCTGTCAGTTACTCACCAGAACATCTGAACAGCCTCGCTCTCTCCCGGTGGCCCGATCCCCTTGCCCTCGTGTGACCTCTGTCCTGGCTCTGGCAGGTGAAGTCCCTGATCTTTGACCAGAGCGGGACCTACCTGGCCCTGGGGGGCACCGACGTCCAGATCTACATCTGCAAGCAGTGGACGGAGATTCTCCACTTCACAGGTGGGGCCTGGGGGGCTGGCCGGACGAAGTGGGGGGTCTCACTGGGTTAGGAACTTCTAGGCGCTCATGTGCCTCAGCAGCTGTGAGCCAGCCCGAGGCCGGAGCGCTTAGTGACTGAGAAGACGGACTCGGGAGGGGCGCGCTGGGCTGTCCGCGCCGGCTCTGCCGCAG